GCTGGCAGTGTGTAGTATCACTACTGGCAGTGTGCGGTATCACTGCAGGCAGTGTCTGGTAATACTACTGGCAGTGTGTGGTATCACTACTGGCAGTGTGTAGTATCACTACTGGCAGTGTGTGGTATCACTACTGGTAGTGTGTGGTATCACTACTGGTAGTGAGTAGTATCACTACTGGCAGAGTGCAGTGTCACTACTGGCAGTGTGTGGTATCACTACTTGCAGTGTGTGATATCACTACCGGCAGTGTGTAGCATCACTAACGGCAGTGTGTAGTATCACTACTGGCAGTGAGTGGTGCCACTACTGGCAGTGTGTGGTATCACTACTGGCAGTGTATGGTATCACTACTGGCAGCGTGTAGTATCACTACTGGCAGAGGGTAATATCACTACCGGCAGTGTGTAATATCACTACCGGCAGTGTTCAGTATCACTACTGGCAGTGTGTGTGGTGTCACTACTGGCAGTGTGTGGTATCACTACTCGCAGTGTGTGGTATCACTACTGGTAGTGTGTAGTATCACTACTGACAGTGTGTGGTATCACTACTGGTAGAGTGTGGTATCACTACTGGCAGTGTGTGATATCACTACTGGCAGTGTGTGTTATCACTACTGGTAGTGTGTAGTATCACTACTTGCAGTGTGTGGTATAACTACCGGCAGTGTGTAGTATCACTACTGGCAGTGTGTAGTATCACTACTGGCAGTGTGTGGTGTCACTACTGGCAGTGTGTGGTATCACTACCGGCAGTGTGTAGTATCACTACCGGCAGTGTGTAGTATTGCTACTGGAATTGTGTGGTGTCACTACTTGCAGTGTGTGGTATCACTTCAGGCAGTGTGTGGTATCTCTACTGGCAGTGTGTAGTATCTCTACTGGCAGTGTGTAGTATCACTACCGGCAGTGTGTAGTATCACTACTGGCAGTGTGTGGTGTCACTAATGGCAGTGTGTGGTATCACTGCTTGAAATGTGTGGTATCACTGCCCTCAGTGTGTAGTATCACTACCGGCAGTATGTAGTATCACTTCTGGCAGTGTTTGGTGTCACTACTGGCAGTGTGTGGTATCACTACTGGCAGTGTGTGGTATCACTACTAGCAGTGTGTAGTATTTCTACTGGCATTGTGTAGTATCACTACCGGCAGTGTGTAGTATCACTACTGGCAGTGTGTAGTATCACTACTGGCAGTGTGTGGTGTCACTACTGGCAGTGTGTGGTATCACTACTCGCAGTGTGTGGTATCACTACTGGCAGTGTGTGGTATTACTACTGGTAGTGTGTGGTATCACTACTGGCAGTGTGTGGTATCACTACTGGTAGTGTGTAGTATCACTACTGGCAGTGTGTGGTATAACTACCGGCAGTGTGTAGTATCACTACTGGCAGTGTGTGGTGACACTACTGACAGTGTGTGGTATCACTACTGGCAGTGTGTAATATCACTACTGGTAGTGTATGGTATCACTACTGGTAGTGTGTGGTATCACTACTGGTAGTGTATGGTTTCACTACTGGTAGTGTGTAGTATCACTACTGGTAGTGTTTGGTATCACTACTGGTAGTTTGTAGTATCACTACTGGTAGTGTGTGGTATCACTACTGGTAGTGTATGGTTTCACTACTGGTAGTGTATGGTTTCACTACTGGTAGTGTGTAGTATCACTACTGGTAGTGTGTGGTATCACTACTGGTAGTGTATGGTTTCACTACTGGTAGTGTATGGTTTCACTACTGGTAGTGTATGGTTTCACTACTGGTAGTGTGTAGTATCACTACTGGTAGTGTGTGGTAACACTACTGGTAGTGTGTGGTATCGCTACTGGTAGTCTAGTATCACTACTGGTAGTGTGTCTTATCACTACTGGTAGTGTATGGTTTCACTACTGGTAGTGTGTGGTATCACTACTGGTAGTTATATGGTATTAAGGCTGGCAAGATTTCATGTATACTGGCAGTGCATCACATCAATAATACCAGTTTGTGGGATCAGTACTAACAGTAAGTGACATCAATAAAGGCAGTGTGTTGGATCAATTCTTGCTGTGTGTGTCAATATTTGCAGTGTGTGACATCAATACTTGCTGAATGTGTGACGTCAATACCGACAATGAAATTATGTTCTCTATGCTAGTATAAAGTCATTAGTATCCAGATGACTATAATGCAGAAGAGGGCTGGGTAGGGTTATCACGTTTAAAGTTTATTGGCTACGCATTAGTCATTAAGACTGCTTATTACCTGTCTACCACCAGTAAAGAAGACTTTAAACCCTTAGATAGGTTTACAGGAAGCTCTGTGTATATGCACTGAGAAACATACTCCTTTCAAGCACATACCCTTGGTGGTTGGGCGGTGACTATTTCTTTTTTGTAATGCACCAGGAAATAGGCACTCACAGCCTGCCAGGTTCAGTACCGGCTCAATCTGGTCGCTACTGCATTTCTCTCTATTTAAGGATTGTCTCGGGTATCATCGGTTAGTAATCCACGTCGAGAGTAGTTTGGAGTGAGCGTCTGTCAGCTACGGCCAGCGTCTGTGGTTAGCGGTTGTCTGGCCTAGGGTAAGTTAAAAGCTATGATTCTCCTATTTACTGTGTCAATGTTCAACTCACTTCACTAATTTGGTAATAATATGGTTAAAAGTCTGCTTAATATCCGTTTACCTCATTTGAAATATTATCCGTCAATCGTGTACTCGTTTCTTATCCGACAAATATCCTTTATTCATTTACTCTGCCTATATCCCTGAGCATTTTACACACAGTAATTTTATTCCCATTATTAATTCGCTCTTCCATTGACAAACTTCCCAACTCTCTCACTCTTTGTAAATAGATGAGGCAGTCGTCCGGGGGGTCTAACTTAGGACTTTCTCTAGTTTCACTCTCTAATAGATGAGGGTTACACCTCCAGTCATGTTGACTCGAAAATTTGTCACATAAATGAGGCAAAGCATATTTTGCATAAACATTTATCTAAGTTCTTGAATATTACTGTTATTTATGTTTGCGAGCTTAGCTTGTGTTACTGATTATATTCCTTGTATGTGTGAGTCAGGACACAAGCTTGCAGTAACAGTTATTCACAGTTTTTTTTCATGAAGTGATTCTGCAGGCATTTTTCATTTTTCTCTATCTTTCAACAAAATAACTTGTAAAACTGCTAAGTATTTATACTAATTCACTTCTCATTCGAGGTGATATTCCTTCCTTCGTTGGGTTCTCTGGCCCTTGACCTATACAAATATATAAAGATATATAAAGATATACGTACAGTTCAAAATACTATTAAGAAAACGTTTGACCGCAATTTAAGGCACCAATCTGGAGGTCTTCGGACCTTACCGACTTTTACTCTTTTATTTAAAAGATGAGGGTTGTCTCCTGACCTTGTTGTGTTTTGAACAAATAAAGACGCAGCTTGTACAGAAACGTTGCCTCAAAAAATGTTTTAAACTGTGCATGTGTCTTTCTGAACAAGCAACAAAATTCCAAAACATTTTAAATTCTCGTTATTATTCATTATTATTCATTATTCGTTATTATTCACTAAGAAAGGACTTAAGAATACCTATTAAAACTTAATTCTACGTAAGGTACACCTAAACTGATGGTTTGAAACTGATCTGAAGTAGTAGTTTGTAATATTTCCCTAGACATCTGCTGTATGACCCTTGTCGGCTTAGCGCTTTCTTTGATAATAATAATAATAATTATTATTATTAGAAATTTATAACCTATTTTGTTTAATTAAAATATACAAATTAAATCTTACATAGACCAGTAATAACATTTACTTTCCTTTGAAAAGATTACATTAACTACAAAAGTTTAACTCGGAACAGACTGATCGACACCATGCCTAACCCTTCTAGGGTAGGGTAGGTGCCTGAGCCCGAGCCTTTAGCTCATAAGACTGTCATTCCCATTAGCCCCCTTGGGGCGGGGATAGCAGACCAGAGAGGCCTAGCTTGTGGCTAGGCCTGGGGACAGTTGGTCCCAAAGATGAGGAGGTACTTGTGCCTCCTCCCATGGGAGACTTAGGTCTCAGACACTCCCTAAAGAGGGAGCCAAGGCCGGGCCACCACTTGGAAAAGGCCCGGGCCGGGAGAATACCGGCTAATCTTTAATAATAAAATAATAATAATCGGAACAGACTAGGTATTCAGTAAATTATATTTAATTTATTTTCGTTACTTTTATTTTCAGATTTACTTAATCAACGATCAGAGAAAAATAGGAATGTATCTAATGTGACGTGACAGTTATAATGCTTTTAGAAATGACATGTTGAGTCCTCAATGGTCATGTCTCTATCCCAGTATAATCTCTCCGTCCATCACACTTTCCATTATCATATTTTGTCTAATCTTGAGCGTTACAGTACCAAAGTTAGATGTTAAAGACATAACGGCAGTAGATGTTAAAGACATAACAGAAGTAATTGGAAAGTTTATTCAGAAAATGTTTCACCTGTGCAACAGGTTTTTTATTTGTTGTACGGGCGAAACGTTGTCAGTTTATGGTTTACAATTACTGTTAAGTTTTGTCTGTTTACGTATCGTGGGACCTATTGTAGTACTTTCCCCGTTATCTTTACATGGTTATCTTGTTGGTGTGTTAAAATATGTCGTAGAGCAATGTAGAAGAGAACAGTCTGTTCGCTTGTTTTTTTTCTGTTCTTTCTCTTTTACCCAGTAGTGTGTGTACTCACCTAATTGTGGTTGCAGGGGTCGAGACTCAGCTCCTGGCCCCTGGTGTGTGTGTGTGTGTGTGAGCGTACATTTAGGCATGTATTCCTTTTCATTTTTCTTATATATATTTGTGTATATGCTAGATGGTGCAGGTTTATGTAGCTTATGCACATGTTTTTAAGACTCTCAGGAATATGGTTTATTTGCTAGACTTTTAATATACTTTTCCAACACTAATATGATTTCCAGTATATGTGTAAACATCAGTAACTGCTGAGGGTTGTGTGTTATCTTTCAGGTATCAGGTACCGTGATGACTGGCTACCTAACCTGGATGACAGTGGCGGTGCTGCTGGTCGCTGTCTCTTCCATACCAATACCTTCTCAATCTCGTAATTATCTTTATCACATTTTTTAAGTTGTACTGATGCCAGGAAAGTGCATCGTATATTACTAAGTTCATCCATTTCTTGCTTAGTTGGCCTTCTCATATCTATTCTAAGCCACACCATTTCCTAATTACTCTGAAGCTGAAGAAATATTTCCTAATATCCTTGTGACTCTCATGTTCTTTAGCTTCTGTGTCGCCGTGTAACCGTCTTCTGTCAGGTACAAGGAAACATTTGTAACTAATGTCGATGACCATTTTCTGCCTCTTGGTAATATTATCATTTTTCTCTCCATCAGGAGCGTTGAGTATTTTGTAAGTAGTTATCATGTCGATAAATTAGACACACATGCAGATAATTTAATAGAGACATGATAACCACAGTTATCGTGTCTCTATTAAATTATTTGTTGATGAAATTTTTTTAATGAATGATTTTACGGGCCTATAGCTGATACTAATGATTCTTTTAACAAGAGCATTGTGGAGAGCATGAAGATGTAATCACAATACTGTCCTTCACAGATGTCACTGGAACAACAAATGTGGAGAATTTACTTCCAGGAAATCATGATGACACCAGACCAGCCAAGGTAATGTGGGTAATAACTATACTGTAATTTGTTACCAACACACACACCCGAGGACCAGGAACTAAGATTCGAACCATGCAACCACAATTAGGGAAGTATACACACATTCAAACACACACACACACACACACACACACACACACACACACACACACACAGAAACATACACACACACACACACTTTCAAACACATATACACGTACACAGTCTCAAACACTCACACATCTTCACACACTACACTCATCCACACACACACACACACACACACACACACACACACCACACACCAGACACACACACACACACCAGACACACACACACACACACACACATACACACACACACATACACACCACACATACACACACAGTGTGTGTGTATATATGTGTTTTATATATATATATATATATATATATATATATATATATATATATATATATATATATATATATATATATATATATATATATAATATTTATTTATTTATTTATTTATTATTGTAACCACAAACGAGTGGTACTGAATCAATAACAACACTGCGACTAGCCGAGGATTCGAACCCATGTCGTTTTGGCCCACGACACAGATACCGGCGAACGGTGACTGAGATGATGTCTACATTTTGTATCTTACAAAAGGGTTTCAGATTCTTTAGCATTATTTGTTCGGCACCTCCTACATAACATGAAGCCTGGTCACAGACCGGGCCGCGGGGGCGTTGACCCCCGAACTCTCTCCAGGTATACTCCAGGTAACTCAACTATTTAAACATAAAAATATATTGTCTTTGCCAATTTAAGGTAGGATTGTTTAGCTGGTTTTATAGTCTTTTTCCAGGAGGTTCTCAGCCTTACACGTTTAGAGCTTAAATAACTTTGTCCATGTTTGTAACCCAGAGAATTCAGATTAAGTAGAAAACAGTGAAGCATTTTATAATGATTAAAATGAGACGGTCGAGAGAAGTCAAGAACTTTGTCAAAGGAAAGATCGTCTGTGGCCTCACCAGACTGACACCACCAAACTTAACCTTCACGGAAGCCCGTCCTCCACAAACTGTACCACAAACTAAATCTTGTGAAATGTGAGCTTGGTCAGCAAATATGCAAGCTAACCAGCTCCTAACCCATCAGACAGCGAGAAAGTGATGCATGACCAGGCGATTAATTCAGGCAGAGCAGCATGGAAGAACCACAGGTTTACTGGCAGGTTTAAGTTCCATGGTAGCGAATACGAGGAATATACAAATTTCGAGGCGACAACCACAGACGACAGAGTTTAGTTAAGCCTTCGCAGGTGGCGGCCATGTTGGGGTAAGTCGTAGATCTAAACCAGTAAATCAAATCTTTAATTATCCAGACTTATATGAGCTGTTTTCATGAGGAATTTTAGTAAAGAGGACGAAACATCGAAGTTAACAAGATCAAAATACCTGGTCAGGATCATTTTTATGGTTTTCAGTGAAATCTACAATGTGTATAATACAGAAAGATAACACTTTTTAATGTGTGTGATGTGTGTTATTTCGACTTTTTATAAGATATTAACTCACTCAACTTGTAATAAATCTGGCTAAGTTTCCTTCTTTATGCATCTTGGTTTACCTATACAGGTAAGAATGAAATTTTAGTTATCATTTATCATTTTCATTTTAAAAATCGTTATGCATTTTCCTGCAGGAAATACTGATTTGGGATGACTCAGACATCGACGAGAAGAGTTCGTCAGAGAAATTTGGTGTCAGAAGCATGGAAGTGATCCGGACCAAACGTAGAGTTGGGGCTCGACCCAGGGCAGGGCGGATAAAAATTAAAAAGGAAAGGCTTCGGAAAAGCCGGCAATAGTTAATGTCGTGACTGTTTCCAACATAAAGACGATCTTTCACGGCTGAACTGAGTCATCAGGAAGCCATCTTCCGTATTTCAAGACTGTGAATTCATGAATTACTTATATAACTTGTGTTTAATATGAAGTAAAATTTTATGAGCAGGTATGTCTACTAACTGATGCTCTTAACTAAGAGCAGGTATGTCTACTAACTGATGCTCTTAACACAGTTACTCTCAAACAGTGAGGCGCGGCAGACATGGAAGCCTGACTGGGCTTCCATATTAGCCACGAGCTTCTAGTCTTAGATAAGGCTTTCATTCTCATAACTTGATGGCGTCATAAATGTACACATACTACTCGGGTTATAATTTTTGTACAAGTTACATTTACATGGATAAACTGAGACTCGCATTATGAAGTCTTGTACATTAAATCTTTGTTATGCTGATATTTTTGTTCCCATAATACAATGAATTATTTTATTTATTGAAAAACCAATAAATGTAAAATGAAATGTAGTTTTTCTTATCCGGTATTTTAAGACTTGGCTTCAGTGACACTATCACAAAATAATTTCTTACTCTATCCCAAGTTTTTTCTTTACACAAGTCTCTCTCTCGCTCTCTCTCTCTCTCTCTCTCTCTCTCTCTCTCTCTCTCTCTCTCTCTCTGACTGATAGATCGTCTGTCTGATGTGACTCTGAAAATCTGCTCTAATTCAAAGTTTAAATATACTGAAAAAAATTATATAATTTTTTACTCTTACTCTCATTCGTCTGAGCACAATGTTTCATGTGTGGTGGCAGAGGTGGAGTTTCAAGGCTGACAGTCAGGAGCTCTTGATCCAAGACATTAAAACTGACTTCCCCTTTAATGGAGCGATCCTGACTGAGTCTCGTTCCCCCAAGCACTTGACCAGCGCTCTACCTCCTTCACATTAATATACACAAAATTAGTGTGTGTGTGTGTGTGTGTGTGTACTCACCTAGTTGTAGTTGCAGAGGTTGATTCATAGCTCCTGGCTCCGCCTCTTCACTGGTCGCTACTAGGTCCACTCCCTCCCTTCTGCATGAACTTATCAAACTTCTTCTGAACGCTATGTATGAACCTTGCCTCCACCACATCAGTTTCCAGATTGCTTCACTTCCTGACAACTCTATAACTGACGAGAAACTTCCTTACATCCCTGTCACTCAATTGAGTGTTCAACTTCCAGCTGTGACTCCTTGTTGGTGTGTCCCATCTCTGAAACATTCTGGTCCAATCCACCATGTCAATTCCACTCAGTATTTAATATGTCATTATCATGCCCCGCTATCTCTCCTGTCCTCCAGTGTCGTTAGGTCGATTTCCAGTAACCTCTCCTCGTAGGATATGCGCCTTAACTCCGGGACTAGTCTTGTTGCAAACCCTTTCTCTAATTTCTTGACGTGCTTGACTAGGTGTGGGTTCCAAACTGGTGCTGCATACACCAATATGGACCTGACGTACACGGTGTACAGAGTCCTGAACGATTCCTTAAAAGGTGCCGAAACGCTATTCTTAGGTTTGCTGGGCGCCCATATGCTGCAACAGTTCCTTGGTTGATGTGCGCCTCAGGAGATATGCTCGGTATGATATTCGCCCTAAGATCTTTTACCCTGAGTGAGGTTCACAGTCTTTGGCCCCTTAGCCTGAACTCTGCGGTCTTTTTTGACCTTCCCAAATCTTTATAACTTTGCACTTGGTGGGGTTAAACTCCAGAAGTCAGTTGCAAGACCAGGTTTGCTTCCTGTCCAGATCCCTTTGTAGTCCTACCTGATCCTCATCCGACTGAATTCTTCGCATTAGCTTCACATCTTCTGCAAACAGGGAGACCTCTGAATCTATCCCTACCGTCATGTCATTCATGCATTGGGTGTGTTTGTTTGTGAATGTGTGTGTGTATTTGTATTTTTTTACTGTATATGTATGTGTTAGTGCTTGTTTGTATATATGAGTGTGGGTACTCACCTATATGTGTAAGTTTTTTTTTTTTTGTGGGTGTAGAGTCCTCTGGAAAATGACGCCATGAATATTATTTATATTTTATCTATCGTCTAGTATTATGTTGCTAATGTCTTCGTTAATGGCTAATACGAAAATTTCATGTTTTGTATTATTTGTCTTATGTTTTTAGCTCATTTATGTTTGTGGGGGGAAGTTCATTAGGTAGGAGTGGAAGTATAAATGGGTGGTGGTGGTAGTTTGTTGGGTAGTATGTTTGTTCTGTGTGGTGTGGACATCGTTACTCTTAACCCTCCCCCTTCTCCACCAAGTGGGAGTTGACGTGTGTCCCTCCCACCAGTTGACAGTCGCGTGACTTTCGGTTCCCATAAGTCTGCAAGAATTCAATCCACTCCTGTTCAGTAAATATATTATGTGTATTGGTTAATTTGGTTTCAACAAGAGCTTCACTTCTGTTTAGGTTATATTCTGCTGAATTCATCATGACCTGATTTGGACTTAGTAGTGTAACGTAATCATTTCTTGTCCTCACCACTTCTTTTAAAGGCAGTACACCTATCACGTGAGTGATTTCTCGAAGGGTTTGTAATTTTCTGCTTCTGTATTTTAGCACTGATTGTCGACTCGGGTCATCCGACACAGGCGAGATCTAAGAGGCAGCTTAGATCTTGTCCAGATCTTAGAATTAATCTGGCATCTGTACCTAAACTGGTCCCCTTCCACTCGTAACTCACACTCAATCAGTTCTACACCACCTTACAACCATTCTCCAGTTATCACTCCACCAAAATTCCATGGTGGTTCACGACTGGAGACTACTACTTTGGAAGAGTCGTAATTTTCAGTGGATCCCAGTACCTGGGTTTTTGAGGATCCTTACTCACGTTGGAGTCTCACTCTACTTACTTCAAGTGTCACAACAGTCACGTCCACCTTTGCCCCCCCCCCCTCCCCTGCCCTCAACATCAACAGCGGTTCGGTGTTCAAAACCACGAATTAGAACTACATGCCCAGAGCATCGGCACACCATTTAAATCAATTGTTGTGTACATATGTAGATCTTAATATTACGGATTGCGAAAAAGATTTAGGAGTTCTGGTTAGCAGTAATCTGAAACCAAGACAACAGTGCATAAGTGTTCGCAATAAAGCTAATAGAATCCTTGGCTTCATATCAAGAAGCATAAATAATAGGAGTCCTCAGGTTGTTCTTCAACTCTATACATCCTTGGTTAGGCCTCATTTAGATTATGCTGCACAGTTTTGGTCACCGTATTACAGAATGGATATAAATGCTCTGGAAAATGTACAAAGGAGGATGACAAAGTTGATCCCATGTATCAGAAACCTTCCCTATGAGGATAGACTAAGGGCCCTGAATCTGCACTCTCTAGAAAGACGTAGAATTAGGGGGATATGATTGAGGTGTATAAATGGAAGACAGGAATAAATAAAGGGGATGTAAATAGTGTGCTGAAAATATCTAGCCTAGACAGGACTCGCAGCAATGGTTTTAAGTTGGAAAAATTCAGATTCAGGAAGGATATAGGAAAGTACTGGTTTGGTAATAGAGTTGTGGATGAGTGGAACAAACTCCCAAGTACAGTTATAGAGGCCAGAACGTTGTGTAGCTTTAAAAATAGGTTGGATAAATACATGAGTGGATGTGGGTGGGTGTGAGTTGGACCTGATAGCTTGTGCTACCAGGTCGGTTGCCGTGTTCCTCCCTTAAGTCAAGGTGACCTGACCTGACTAGTTTGGGTGCATTGGCTTAAGCTGGTAGGAGACTTGGACCTGCCTCGCATGGGCCAGTAGGCCTGCTGCAGTGTTCCTTCGTTATGTTCTTATGTTCTTATATTAGCTTTGAGTCAAAAATTATTTATATATATTTCATTTTTCATTCCTTGCTTAAGGAAGGATTAATTTTATATTTAAGTGTTCTATATTCTACACTAGTTCTACATATTAATAAAATTGGGTCTTATGTTATCGATTTTTTATCTTTTCATTCCATAAGGAGGAATCTGTCTTATCAAAGCCTTTCGAGAGTCTAATAAGGCTGTTGAACCTCAAATATCGGTAGGATAAAACAACTATAGTTCCTTCGATGTTGAACCTCAAATATCGGTAGGATAAAACAACTATAGTTCCTTCGATGTTGAACCTCAAATATCGGTAGGATAAAACAACTATAGTTCCTTCGATGTTGAACCTCAAATATCGGTAGGATAAAACAACTATAATTCCTTCGAAGTTCGTCAAAACAAGAGTCTTGACTGACTTCGTAAAGAATCTTTACCAGTTATTAATTACAGAAGTTGGGCAGTTTATTTATATTTTGTATGCTGCTAGTCTAGCTGCTTAATGACGAGGACATGATGCATGTATATTGTACGTCGGTTTGCGTGAGGCCAGCAGTATTAACCTGGTTGATCAGACCCTGATCCACCGTGAGGCCTGGTCACGGACCATGCCGCCTTCTCCAGGTATACTCCAGGTATTCATCTAGAATGTTACACTCACGTTGTGTGAATGCTGCCACTCACCACCTGGTGTGATGCTTGCCACACGGCTGGTGTGATGTCACACGGCTGGTGTGATGCTTGCGCCACGGCTGGTGTGATGGTTGCCACACGGCTGGTGTGATGTTGCCACACGGCCTGTGTGATGTCACACGGCTGGTGTGATGCTTGCCCCACGGCTGGTGTGATGGTTGCCACACGGCTGGTGTGATGGTTGCCACACGGCTGGTGTGATGGTTGCCACACGGCTGGTGTGATGTTGCCACACGGCTGGTGTGATGTTGCCACACGGCTTGTGTGATGTCAAACGGCTGGTGTGATGTCACACGGCTGGTGTGAAGGTTGCCACACGGCTAGTGTGATGGTTGCTACACGGCTGGTGTGATGTTGCCACACGGCTGGTGTGATGTTGCCACACGGCTGGTGTGATGTCACACGGCTGGTGTGATGGTTGCCACACGGCTGGTGTGATGTTGCCACACGGCTGGTGTGATGTCACACGGCTGGTGTGATGGTTGCCACACGGCTGGTGTGATGTTGCCACACGGCTGGTGTGATGTCACACTGCTGGTGTGATGTCACACGGCTGGTGTGATGTCACACGGCTGGTGTGATGTTGCCACACGGCTGGTGTGATGTTACACGGAGGGTGTGATGGTTGCCACACGGCTGGTGTGATGGTTGCCACACGGCTGGTGTGATGTCACACGGGTGGTGTGATGTTGCCACACGGCTGGTGTGATGTCACACGGAGGGTGTGATGTCACACGGAGGGTGTGATGGTAGCCACAAGGCTGATGTGATGGTTACCACACGGCTGGTGTGATGGTTGCCACACGGCTGGTGTGATGGTTGCCACACGGCTGGTGTGATGGTTGCCACACGGCTGGTGTGATGGTTACCACACGGCTGGTGTGATGGTTGCCACACGGCTGGTGTGATGGTTACCACACGGCTGGTGTGATGGTTGCCACACGGCTGGTGTGATGGTTGCCACAAGGCTGATGTGATGGTTG